CATCGGCGAATCTTAAAATGATATCAATTCTCCTCCTACTGTCACTCCAATTTGATCTCTAGTGAATGTTTCTTTAATTTCATTGATAGATTGTTCTACATAAATATTGAATAATTTTGGTGACAGTGGACACCCTTGTTTTACTCCCTTTCCTATTTTGGCTGTTGCAGACTTGTCTGACACTTTTATTATAGCTAATTGCTCTTTGTATATGTTGTATATTAGCTGTCTGTCTCTATAATCAATGTCTATTTCTTTTAATGTCTTAAAAAGTTCCTTCCAGGGAACTGTGTCAAATGCCTTCTCCAAATCGATAAATGCGATAAATGTGTCGTTGTTAAATTCGATCTGTTTTTCAATTAATGTCCTTAGGCTTAAGATCGCTTCTTTAGTACCCATGTTTCTTCTAAATCCGAATTGATCATTGCTTAAATGCCTTTCAATTTTATGTTCCATCCGGTTACCTATTATTTTTACTAGGATTTTAGCCGAATGTATCATCAGACTCAGGGTTCTATATTCACTGCATTTTTCAGCTGTTGCTTTCTTGGGGAGAGTAATTATTATGTTTTTTTTAAAATCTTCCGGTATTTCTCCAGTTATATAGATGTCATTAACCAATTTAAATAATTTGTTCTGGATTTTTTTACCTGCATTTTGGATCAATTCTGTTGATATATTGTCTACACCTGGAGATTTCCTAGTTTTCATCATTTTAAGGACTTGGTTGAATTCTTCCCTTAGGATTGGTGCACCCTCATTATCTGGATTACTTTCATTATGTAGGCTAGTTATCTCTTCACCCTGATATAGAACTTCGAGATATTGTTTCCATCTATTAGCAATGTCTTCGTTGTCTATTAGTAGATTTCCGTTTTCATCTCTTATTTTATTGTTGACTTTAGTTTTATTACTGACAAATTTTTTTAATGTATTAAACGCTTGGTCCATTTTGTTTTCTTTTATTAATAGTTCTACTTCATGGCATCTGTCTTCTAGCCATTTCTCCCTTGCTTCTTTTGCATTTCTGTTTATTTTGTTTTTAAGTTCTTTATATTTTCTTATTCCCTGGTTGTCTTTGGAGTTTTTGTACTTTCTTCTTTCCTCAATATCTCTTAGAATTTGTTCATTTATCCATGGTTTTTTGGGATCTAACGTATTTCTTATAATAGTTTTATTGGCTGCATTATGTATAGTTTCTTTGATTGCTTCCCATCTTATATTTATTGAATCATTTTGTGAGGGTGCTTTGAATGTTTTACTGATGCACGATTCATAGGCTAACGCTGTATTCCGATCTTTCAGCATATTTACGTCATATCTTCTTTCCTTTTGTGTAGGTTTATTCAATTTTTTAATGTTTGATTACTCAAAACTTATTTTATTGTTATTTATTTCTTAATAATTACATTTTCTGATTATCTTATTGTTATTAGAACTATTGAAAAATAAAATAAAATTCTGTTATAAAAATAGTTAAAATTGTAATAGTATTATAGTCTACTAAATAAAAATTATCAAATACTTGAGATATTCATTCAGATGACATATAATATTATTAAATTATTTTTTGTAAAGAGATAAGGTAAATTAAAGATTTATTTGGTGTTTATTTTACTATATCCAGTGGTTTTAAGTGAAAATGTTGTTAAACACGAATTATGCATAAACTCAAATGTTGACTTCTCTTACTTGGTTTTGTAAATAGCAAAAAAAAAATTAATTTATCCAAATATCAGTGGCGTAACTATAAATTTGGGTCCCCGGAGAAGTATAAAGTGTTGGCCTCCGTATAATATTACCAAAGTTAAAAAATAAATAGCCACTTTATTTCGGTATAGTAGGTAGGTATCACAATTTTTAAACAATAATTTAAGTGTTTACAAACTTTTTAAACACACGGTATAACAAAAATTATAACTTTTAAGTTAAACTTACTTGTTCTATGCAAGTTGACCAGACGATTCGACAATCAAATGTAAAATGACGTGTAGTTTAACAAAACGAAAAATAGACGATGTTTATATTAATAACACAACAATAATAATAATCGTTGTACGATTACCATTAGTGATGAGCATAGATTAAATAAACCAGTATAGGTATTTATTTCGTTAGTGGATACTGGATAGTATGTGTACGAGTGGTACGATGATTATTATTTTTATCGCATAGTAATTCAAGATTCTATATACACATCATGATATTAATATAAAAATAAACATCGTCTGTTTTCCAATAATAGGCTGTTGCTGTTTTGCACTTTTTTTAATCCTAATAAGTAATGAAAGTACATGTCTCGTGAATATTAAAATAAAATTCAAATGTTTGTACATCATTTTTTATAATACAAATTGTATTTACGAGGAACTTCCAATGCTAATAAAAAAAAATTGTGCCTATGTGTTCTTAAAATTTTTTGATCACTATATGAATAATTAATGAGGAACTTTGTATTAAATGTTCTAGTATTTATATTCGGCCAAAAAAATGTATCGACACTTCAAAAGAAAATTTTCAGAAAAATTGAAAATTTTAATTGTCTATAAATAGCTCAAAAAAAGTCAAAATATTTTGAAAATTAAATCATTTAAAGAAAATGCCAATCTAAATAACTGGTAATTTTTCAAGTATCTACGACTTATACTTTTTGAATATTAACAAATATTTAAAATCGTTTGAGGATAAATCGTTATCGTTACACTATTTTGTAAAAATTTAAAATTCAAACGCACTTAAAATTTTTCCTATAATAATGCTTCGAGTTTTTACTATAGCTACCTGAAAGAAAACTTAGGGAAAACATAGTATAGTATTTTTAATCCTTAGTTATAAACACAAAAAATTTTATGATTTTTCAACTTCAAAATTACTTACAAATTTTCGCGTTTTCGATAGATTTCGTAAATATTTGAACTATAAACGTTTATAAAAAAAAATTGTAATCAACGTTTTTTAATTTTTTTTTAGCTACAACAAGAACAACTCATAAGGAACCTTGTATTAAATTTTCTAAATATTTTGGTCATCCAACATTTTTTTATCGACACTTCAAAAAAAATTCCCATAAAAATCAACAATTTCAATGGTCTATAAATAACTCAAAAAAATTCAACATTTTTTAAAAATTAAACTGTATATAGATAACACTAACATAAACATTTGGTGAAAATTTCAAGTATTTATAGTGATTAGTTTTTGAATTACAACCATATAAAAAAATCGATTTGGTCAAAAACTGGTTTTGCGTAAAAATTCCCGTTATTCCGTAATTTTTTTTTTTGTTTTTCTCGATTTTTTTGAAAAGCGTTGGAAAATGTTTACTTCTATAATGCGCCAAGGATATTCACTTTGCCATCGGAAACCACCTTCGAAGTTTGAAATTGAATTATTATTTCGACTACTTATGCTGTACACGGACAAAAAAAAAACCACACATCATTGTAAAATCAATACATTCATCACTCCGTTCAGAATCTAAAAAAGGGTAACAGGAATTTATTTTGAAACGTGGGAGGGATATTAATTATTTTTACTTTAATACTATATGTAATTTACTTAAATTTAAATATTGTTAATTTATAAATATATATATATATATATATATTGTACCTTATATAAACGAACCAGTGGCGTATATAGGAATTATTTTTACTATGGGCCAATTTATCACTAGCATGATAGAATACATAGCTACAACTGAAACATTTTTTAGGAAGCCAGGTGGTTTTAATTATGACATAAATGATACAAGTAGAGATATTTTAATTTATACATAGATATTTATTAATATTCACAGTCTTACAAATTTATTCGTTAAAATTCATTTTTCTGTTTTTTTTTATAAACATATCTATTATTTCTTCTACATTGATTGGAATGTTACGATGAATTGTCATCAATGCAAGGCCTGACAATCTAACGTTTCCTTGTTGATTCCTCAAAAACGTTTTAAGTCGACCTAGTGTTGAAAAACTCCATTCAACCGATGCAGTTGTAACAGGTATAGTGCATAATATTTTTAACAGAACATGCATTGTGGGAAATTCATTTCTGTTACATTTTTTTAATGCTTTGATAGCATTTTTTGGAATGCTGTTCGATGAATCTAAAGAAAATAATTTCCATTTACTTTTCCATAGTCTCCATTCACCTTCAATAATTGATGGATTAAAGTTATCTTCAAAATCAGTTTGATAAAAGTTAATGGCATGTAATACATTAGTATAACTTGAATTAATCGCATAAAATGGTACAATATGTTGAAGACTTAAAAGAACTTCTTTATGTTTGGTAAATCTATTAGATAATGACATAGATAGCTCATCAAGATATGGAATAAACAAACTAATTCTAAAATACTCTTCTGGATAATTAGTAGAATGGTTTTGTCTATGAGTTGGTGTGCCGACAATTCTTGATATCAATTTTGTAACATTGAGGTTATTAGCTACATTAAGAGCAGATTTAAATACTTCATTAAATTCACTCTCGGCATTTGATCTCATCTCACTGATAACTGATTGAACATTTTCTACACTTTCAACAGCTGTACATAAATCAATATTAGACTTTTGGAGATTAACAGATACTTGATACGTTAAAGCTAACAATTTGTTAACAGTAAATAGAGTAATAATAAACTCAAAATCACAGTTTTTGAGGAATGAGCGACCCATTAAACCATCATCTTTATTGTCAGTCATTTGTTCTAGTGTTGCTATAATAGGCAAAATATTATCTTTGAATAATGCAATAGCTTCATGTCTCTCAACCCATCATGTATCACAATAGTTCATCAATCTCGATGATTTTAAGTTAAATTGTATTAATTTAGATTTTAAAATATTTGTTCTTCTAACTGAGGCTCTTAAAAATGTACTAACTTCTCGTATTGTTCCAATGGTATTTCTTACAGTTTGAAGCTTTTATGAATCATTTAACACAAGATTAAGAGAATGTGACAAACAATGTGTATAAATAGCTGATGGATACTCTTTTTATAATAATGCCAGGACTCCATTAAATGCACCACTCATAGCCGCAGCTCCATCATAACCTTGTCCTCTTAGGTTCTTTAAATCAATTCCAAAAGACAGGAGCTTTTTTTTTATTGTATCAGCTAAACCCTTTCCAGATACATCAGTTACAGATACAAATTTTATAAAGTCTTCCCTAATTTCATTTTGTTCATCATCCACATACCGGAGACATAGAGAAAACTGTTCAATACCTTGTACATCGGAGGTTTCGTCAGTAAAAACAGTAAAAAAAATAGATTTTTTAACTTTATCAATTATATAATTCTGAATAGTTAATCCAATTAATGTTATAATTTCATTTTGAATTAAGAGGCTAGTGTACATTTGTTTAGCTCCTGATTTTAAGATATGAGACTTGAGAATACCATCTCCACATCGTGCTCTAAAACGTAACAATGCTCTGAAATTTCCATCATTATGTTCAGGTTCATTTAAATTTAAACGTCCATAATCTTTATGACCTCTATATGAAAGTTCTTGTCTGCCACAAAATATTATTGTTTCAACAATTGCACACAATTTTTGTTTATTTTCAATGTTTTCTTTTTTCATTTGTTTATGTACTTGAAAATCAATAGTTTTTTTTTACCATCAAATGTTAAAAGAAAATTACTAGATTTTATCATTGCAAGCTTATGATATTGCAAATTACTATGAGTTAAGAAAACATTTTTAGCCGATTTCCAATTTCGAAACGGTAAGATAAGAAGTTGCCCAACTTTAAGATTTGATCCTTTACCAATAGTACTTACTGGACCAAATACAACACAGTTCTTACAAAAAGCTCCATTCAAATATTTTGAATAAGTTAGCCACTTAAACTCATCTAACCAAGATTTTTGAAAATGCCGTTTTTTATATTTTGTTATCTGTACGTATAAGCCAGTAAAAGAATTTGGAATCCAAGTTTTTCTTAAAAGCTTTTCTTTGAGAACATCATCCATTTTAAAAGTCTGATTTTTTTTTTTTATCACATACACTCCAATATCATAAGTATTGTCTAATATACTTTCATCAGTACACATTATATTTTCACAAGTAGATTCCTAATAAAATAAAAAAAATATTAAAACAAACTAACTTACTAACTACTCAAGCTAATAAATATATTTACTTGATTCATATTGTCATCAATTATATTATCTGTATTACAAATCTGACCAATAGATTTTTCTACATTAAAACCAATATTAGATTGTCCGCTGTCACACAACATGGTTGACAAAGAAGATAGGTATCTAGTGAATAAATAATTTAATTAATTAATAATTCAAACAAAAACATAATAAACAAAAAGAATATTAATAAGCTATAAAATACATAAAATTATAATCAATGACAGTTCTAACGTGGCAGGGTGAATAGCTGATGTTACTAAAATTTTGGTGTTGCTTATTATTAAAAAATTAAATTTGTATTCAAAAATAAAATTATAATAAATTAAATAAACAAATTATAAATGTACTAACTATTGCCTGTACAAAAATTTTGGCCCAGAACCGCACCTGATTATGCCTAATGCATTATAATTATAAACTTATGTACCTAATGTCAATTAAAAATTTGCTCACACTTGCAACAAATAAGTAGCTATTAGCAAATAATTATATTTTCTATAATAATAAAATAGCTAGAAGTCAAAAAGTAACTAATAGGAAAGTACTTACTTCACTTGATTGACGGGGCACAAACAAAAACGTTTTTAATTTTTCTTTGAAATTCATGTTTTTAACAATGAATTTTAACAACGGTTTGAGCGTGCAACGATCCATTAGAATATAAAGTGTACAACGATCGACGAAACTCACGAAACAATTTCTAGTAATGCATAATAAATCGATAACATTTTGTAATAATGTAAATACAACAGCAAAATGGAAATCCATTTCTAAAAATAGAATGTACTATCGACGTCTATATAAAGTATAAACATAAACACGAATTCACAGATGCTATAAGTTACATAATTACATGATTATAATTACAATAAATAATAATATTATAGTCGCGTCGCGCCTTTTATTGTTGTATCGTATTTGATTGGTCAATGCTATCATTGACTAGGGTCCATGGTATCAGTCAGTATTCAGTAATATACAATTTTATACCTTAAAAACAACGTAAGACTGTAGGAGCCATAGTCAATGGTTATGTAAATATGTAATATACTTTATAGTATACGAGTATCTATATGCAAATATAAAGCAAAATGCATAATAAAATGTTTTGATTGAATCTGATATTTCACTATGGGCCCGGGCCTAGGGGTCCCCCTCATCTATATACGCCACTGAAACGAACAAATAAATATTAATAAATATATAAAGTATCTTGTATTTAGATACTTTGTTTAAGGTATCTTGCTCAGCTCTGCTACTAGCCAGCTAAACATTTTGAGGAGCTAATTTTATAAAAAAAAATTATCATTAGACTATTCTGCGGTATTACAATTAAATAGATTTGGTACAGTCAACGTTACGACAGAACTTACGAAATATGCAGGTTTCTGCCGCAACTTGCGCAGGTGATAGGTAAGATAATTGGGTGACCAATTTATAAATATACACAGAATATTTAGTTTCTATTATAACAATATCAATGCAACGCCTAGCGTACAGTATATATATATAAATATATATCAAATAACATGTATATATGAAAGTATTAAATGATTAATTAAATATGCGGGCGCCCAAATCCATAAAAACATTCGCTTATAAAATATAATAACAATAATTGCACGTATATAATATTATTGAATATGTGCATATAACTATAGAATATAAATAATATGGTCTTGAATACAAAGACCTCAAGTACCGCAATGAATATTATAAAAAAAAATGTAAATAATAATAGTAATGGACACAAATTTGAACATTATGAGTTCGCAATATGTACGTCAATTTGAATGACCACTGACGACGAGTAATAAGTATAATAATCGGTAAATATAACCTGAAGCGACAGCAAAATCTGGTCCCTCGATCGCACGGTGACTCGTACAAAACGACGGCGATGCTTGTATCCACACCTCGTGATCACACAAGGTTTTTTTTTTTTGTGGCACGTGCGGACGAACGAACGCGACGTTGCGTATCGTTCGACTGTTGGAAAAAGGCAAAAAGCTCGTGGACGCGCCCGAACTGGATAGTGGCTCGGCCATCGGCTAACGAACTGTCACTGGACAGCGGAGGGGGGTTTGTCGGACACAGGCACACAGCTTTATCTTGCCGCACACTTTATCTTTTACCACACCCGTGGTGTCCCGACAAAATATAATATTATATAATTGATCACAGGAAAAACCCAGGCCCTGATTTAATAAAATTAGGGCCAAGTGCACAATTTTTTTGGGGGCCCCCTACCCCTACCACCACAAGTCAAAAAAATGTTCCAGAAAAAGTACAGTAAATAGATGGTATCTCATCAAGTTACATGTATTAATAAAATATAATAAAACAAATAAAGATTAGTAGGTACTTACATTAGTTCAAATTTGTTAATGACTAGAAATATTTTTAAAATTTTTAACTATTTCATAAATAAAACAACAACTAGATATAAAAATTAGTTAACAAAAGATTTCAAAAACTCATAAATTTGACATTTAAGTTTTTATTAAATTTTAAACAAGTACCATTAAAAATATTCATCATAACACAATGCATTTAAATGAACACACATTAATTCAGATGGAAATGATAAACTCATTAGTTAAATAATTATAGATATTATAATTTATACAGTAGATTCTCGTTATGTCAAATTTTAAGGGAAACAGAAAAAAGTTCGAGATATCGAAAACTTCGAGATATCGAGTTTTATTAAAAAATTAAAAAACTAATATGTATGTATAAATGTATGTTGTATAATGTATATGAATAATAAATAATACGAATGACTAAAATAGACTAAAATTTGAATAATTAAAATACTGAAATGACTGAATAAATTATTTTTCTTTAAAAAAATCTGTCATTAAGGTTTGCTTCATATTACTTCTTTCTGCCACGACGTCTTCCAAATTATTTAATGCAGAAAAAGCTACCAGTGACTACCAACGCGCTAAATCACAATCGCTATACTGCACTGCCTGCACAATGTATGCAATGTACTGCACAATTCCTATGTTAACCGTAACAAAAATATTATTTGTGAACTCGAGATAACGAAAAATGATTAATTTTATATCGAGTTATCGAGAGCAAAACACTATTAAGTGTAATTAATAGTAGTTTCAAGAGGAATTCAAAGTAGTTCGAGATAACGAAAAATTCGAGATAGCGACGTTCGACATATTAAGAATCTACTGTATTATATTTTATGTTTTAGTAACCTAGCACTTACCTAGTATTTTATTAAAGAATCGATCAATAGACCCCGATAGCTTTTTTTTTTGTTCTTTTTCGTTTAGCCACCCCGCTTAAATACTGCCGCGACATATTAGTATTTAACTTTCAAAACAATTATATTTAAAAGTCTAAATAATATTCATGAAAACTAAAAAAAAAAAGTTTCGAATATTATAAATTATTACATTAATACTCACCTATTCAAATACACGTGAGACTCATGTGAGCGATGAGCGTACAAATTTATAAACCACGGTACTGACAAATATACAAATATGAAATAGGTAACGGCTAAAGCATAATATTCATAATAATAATATTGTCAAAAATAATTATGGTAAAGTGATCAGTGACGTGCGGGCACAACACTAACATGTACGATAACATTGGACAACAATAACTACATTAGTTTATAAAATTTAACTAATGTTTTTCGCTATTCGTTTTCGCGGATAACTGAATAACCTAAACCAATGGTTCTAAAAATGGTAATTGTGGGAGCGAAATGCGTCACCAACGACGGGTTAATCATAAAATACTGGGTTGGAAGAAATATATAAATAGTTATTACTTATTATGTATCAAATATTTCCGATCTTCAAACAATTTTCTATTATTATTATTTTAATATGTTGTATTGAGGTGGAAATGACTTATACTAGTATAAGGTCTATGGGAATTATAATTTATTAAAAATAATTAATTTAAAAAAAATTTTAACACAGAAAATTTTCTACAATTCACGGAGATCAGGGACCCCCAAAATTGGGGGCCAAGTGCAAGTGCTCCATCTGCACTTGCGTAAATCAGGGCCTGGAAAAACCGTTCCGCAATCGAACAGGTACTGAAATGTTATTTATGGTATTATAGGAGATTATGTTAACCAACTCATCTAATACACCACCGCCAAATTATACTGAAAATGAATTTAATAGAACTACCTACTGAAACAAGTTTAAAGAATAATTACAATTAAATATTTGGTGATTGTTCGTGTAATCTGGTATATATCTTTAGTTAACATTATTAGTAGGGCTGCAAATTTGTAGGAAAGTGCATTTTTTTTCTGTGATAATGAAACATAGCTTTGCAAGTATATAATTAAAATTATGTAACAACACGAATCCATTCATGAAACTTTTATTTTGCATTTTTTTGACGTTTTTAATTTTTTAGGACACATTTACCTTTTTTGGTTCATTTTCCAGTATTTTTAATTAAATTCATATAAAATAAATACATAAAAAAAAATTTAAAAAACGTTTCAGATGAATAGCATTACACAAAATTCAAATTCAATCATTTTTTAATGGTATTATTAAATAAATTTGTATGCATGTAAAATGTTTTGTATTAAAATATGTACAATATCCAATAATATCAATCTTATAATATAAAAATTAAATTAAATACTATTTTAAGTGTATTTTATACTATAATTTTTGGCATTTTATATTAGATTTTTTAAGGTTTTTAGTGTATTTAACTCATAGCCCTAGTTATTAGGAATATTGGTACTATAATACTTAGGTAACAAGATAATATATATTAAGAGATAAACATGTTTCCATAATACCTATGTGGCTATGTTCATGTCCACCTTTCTTAGATCATTTTTAATGTATAGAATATACTACAATTAAGACCTATTATTTTTTGTAATATTGCTGCAATTGTTTTTTATTTCTAGTAGGTATTTGTAATATTCCATCAACGAGGAGTTTTTACTGTTTTACAGTTTAATAAATTAATATTAATTTAAACTTTTAACCTTATATTTATTTAACATAAAAAATAAAACAAAGTATAATGAAAAATGTTAAGTTGTGATATTAATAATGTGAATTAAGCGCTTGAACACAAGAGGTTACTGTTACACCGTACGTGTTTATTATGAAAATTGGATAAGTAAAATTGAACTGTCTTGCGAGGCTCACACGTCGGGTATAGTAGGACAATCCCCCACTATATATATATATATATACACAAACATAATTTAATACATAAAAATAAATTAAAGTTGAACATTCAAAATAATATTATACATGAGAAAAAATTTTAAATACACAAAAAAAATAAATATTATAGAAGAACTGGTTGTTCATGGTTGCGCATAAGGTCCAATTTCTCGTTCAACATATCCATCAAATATGATGACTGGTGTTGCTCAAAAACATCAAGAGGCCATGTTGTTGATTAAGGCGCTGTACATATTGGGAAATTATATGAGTGGCATTAGCTCGTTCGGATCTTAATATGCCATCTCTGACCTGATAAATTTAATAATTTACATTATATTTTAAATTAATTAAAACAAGTTTAGTATGTTAACAATTTACCCTGAGTATATTCCGTACTTGATTGAACTCCACTGAAAACTGATTTTCAATGTAAGTTAATTTACCTAAAACAAAACATAGTTGATTACTAATAGATAGCAATTGAATAAAACAAATAATAAATTGTACACCAGTCACCAATAAAAATAGACACATTATTTAAATTCAAACAAAATATTAAATTGAATAAACGTTGAACCCAAGGTAAATTAATCAAAAATAGATTATAGGTTAAGTTTGTCATACAGCAGACTTTCTAGGACACTACTAATTTGAAATGTCCTGGATTATACATTTTAGTTGTTTGAATACAGTTAAATTATAGATTAATTATATAAAATTTTTAATTCCTAATTACATGCACAAATCATTATTTATTTGCAACAAAAATCTAATTATAAAATAGTATGGTGTAATATAAAAAATATAATATTATAATTATTTAAATAAGTTGAACATAAGCTAAAAAATTATAAAACTATTGATCTTAGTGTAGGCATTACAAATAAAATCAAACAACTACAATAGTACACAGAAGCGTGCTTTAAAAAATTAGAGATGGAAATTTTACCGTAAAATTTTTTTCGGTAAATTTACCGATAAATTTTACATACATTTTCGTAAATTTTTTTAATAGTGTATATTTTTTTTTATTAATTTATTATGAACTCAATAACATATGTTTATAATTTAGCTAAATACTATTAAAATAATAATATATAATTATATATATATATATATATAATTAATACTACCACTGGACATTAGTTGTTAGTCCACAATTAACCTCAAGTATTATATTTCATCTGGTTTTTACTTACATTTGATGTTTTTTGCTTTTTGAATACGTGTAAAATTAGTTATAAAAATCATAATTGTAATTTGAATAAGTACATAATATAAAGTTTATAATTCTCAATGTTGCAAACCTTTCAAAATGTGAGTGCTAATAATATTTTTAGTAATAGCTTTGGATATGTTTTCAATCTCAAAACATGTTTTCACTTTCACAACATCTAACATTAACAAGTTGAAGGCATGTGATATACATGAATAATAAGCTATAAGTAAACTTTTGAATTTTTCATCAGCTTGTAATGATTTCCAAGCTTTTTTCATATTACTTGCATTATCAGTTATAACGCCTAGACATTTCTCTTTACCCAACTCATCAATTACAGAACTTATTACAGCAGAAATGTATTCAGCAGTATGGCGGTTAAAGCCAGATTCAATTGACTTAAATATGAATGGTTTAGGAGTTGTTACTATTATGTTCATTATTGATTCATTTCTCAAAAAAATTATTGTTACAAAACTTAGAACTAATTTTAATAGATTCTATATTCTATTTGTGTTTTGTAAAATTCTTACTTCTTTAAAAATTAATTTACTTTATTTTGATAATAATTATATATTATTTAAACAATACTTTAATACTATTTATTTTGAAAATCTCTCACTTAAACTATTATAATCTAAAAAGAAATATATAATTGATGTTACACACCTTATATTGATCCAACCATCTAACTGTACTGCATTCACTTTGGCTTCTAAAATGTTTTCATATACTTTGTTATAAGTTCTTAAATATTCTTTTTCCAATAGAGTAGTTGATACTGTTTTTCTTGATGGTGGATTGTTTCAAAAATTTTAACCAGTTCTGATTTTCCACAATTGAGAATGGTGTAGCAGATGTAAATATGGCTCTTGATAATAATTCATGCAAATGGTTCTACAGTTAATAAATTATAAATGATTGATTTATACATTAATTAAAATTGTTAAAAAATACCTACATTATTTAAGTTTTCCAAAATATGTACCTATTTAACATTTTTTAATTTCTTATACAGAAAATACTATACAGATTGTATTAAACTATATTTCAATTATATAATTTACTTTTCCAATAAATATGTGAATATATTAACTATAAACCTAATCTTGGCCTTAAACTGTATTCTATAATTGTATAGCTTAAAACTAAAATAGTTATATGATTTGTTACCTTTTCACCTCTTTTCATTATATATTATCTACAAATTTCAGTAAACTCTGATTTTTATGGGTAATCTGAGGATTTTCTACGGAACTCTGATTTGAATCAGTTATCTGAATAACATTTTCAGAATTGGGCACAATTTCCAATGAATTTTGATTAAATGCATTCATATTTTCTAGAAAATAAAAATAAAAATAAAATAATTGTTGGTGATACAAGCAAAATAATATAATTATTTAATTTTTTAATATATAATATTAAGAACTTTGATTATAGGTTATAATTTAATTTATAAATATTAAAAAAAAAAACTACTTAGGTACATAAGTGCATACATTTTTCTGTAAATTTATATTTTATATTATGTGAATTTTTTTGGTATCAATTCACAAAAGTATAACAAAATAATAATTAAATAAACTTACTATTGTTAAACCTTGATTTGTTAGGTGACAATAAACACTTTGAAACTTCTTGTGGAACATCTTTACATTCGTTTTTAATGTGCATTGTCATTCTCGTTACATTTTCTTTATAATTTTTATTACAATATCGGCACACATATTTTTCAGATCCATCGATTTCTACTTTTGTGTACCACCTTTTTTTGATTTCTTTTGGCTTCATTATTTTAATATATTATAAATTAGAACATAAAATATTTTGAACAATGAGAACAAACATAAATCAACAAGTAACAACACAAATTATGAAGCAAACAATTAATTATCACTTATCATTAATCAGTAATCGCTAATTAATAATCACATACTATAAATTATTATATAAATATAATTAGATTATGCGTATACCGTATTCGGTATGCGTGAACGGTGATTAGTAGGTTATTTATAGACTTATAGTGTACAGTGAAATTGTGTACAACGTTCGGGGAATAGTGATAATTTGAACTGGTTTTCCCAAATTCTTGTAGAATAAAATATATTGACGTATCGAATACGGTCTACAGATAACATTAATCTCATAGAAATGTCTCTAGTGTTAATGTACATATTATGAAAACATTTGAAATAAGTGTTCACTCTTTTTAGTTAATGAACTTAAGACTCTTGATATCCCCTTAAATATCCACTCCATACTTAATACAAAATCTACTACCGCCATTAAATTAATAATTACCTTTATATTGGATGCTGGCTTTATTATTTAATATGTATTATAATGTTTAATGTATAATGTTATTTTATGTATTATCTCTGTAATAGTCGAGCTGTCATAGTTGTAAAATAATGGCTAATGGCTAATAAAAAAAAAAAAAAGTGTTCACTCAATTTTTAGAACGGTAAAAAATATTTACCGTGTAAAAAAAATATCGGTAAAATTTACCGGGTAAATTTACCAAGCTCCCATCTCTATAAAAAATATTATCAACAATATAATAAATAAAACATCAATTGTTTTTTAACTTAAATTAAAAAAACATACAAATTTACTTACTCATCCCTTAAATATTGTTGAACATATAAATCACAACACATATAATTACAAACATTTAGGACAAAGATACAACATAAAAAACACATCAGACTTTCTGATTCAGGGAGGAAATCCAATGTATTGAAGTGTCGTCCCATTTGCGATAGTGTTGAATGAAATGATTCTAAGTAGTTGTTCGTACGATAGTCTTCAACAAAAACGCTGATTAACTCTAAACCAACCTGGAAAAACCAATAATGATCAATATATCCAATTAAAAAATTTCTCATACCCTGCTCAACTTCAGGCAATTATTGAACATACTGCATGATAGCCCTGAAACCATCATACATACAAACAGCGGAGTACGATTGCGCGCGTTGTACCTTTTTAGGTGAACGATTGCGCTCAGTGCCTAAATAACAAAAGACATGATTTTAACTACCCAAAGGCGTACGATTGCGCGTGAAATTAGGTGCGACGTTGCTAAATTGTTTATTAAACAAAAATTAAGTTATATAATAATTATTTTTAATATTTAAATACAAATACATTCATTCAGAAACTAAGAATAATAAAATATTAAAAAAATGTTATAATACCGTCATATAAGAAAAAAAATTATTATTTAAAAAAATGTAGATAAAAAAGTTAATAATTTAAAAAAGTGGATTAAATTACATTTTAAAGCCCCTATACCTATTTCCAACTATTGATAAATATTTTAGTAAATTTTGTGATGTTTTATTTTGTCATTAAAACTGTGGACGTACACTGTTTCTTACAGCACCTCCATCTCACATGTTCATCAGCCCGCTGTCTGATGTATCTAAATTTGTGCCCATTCATAGCGACAAATCACTTCCTCTTTCTGAAGTTAAACGGCGAATTTAATTTTCCATTTTAAAAAATAAATACTAAATTTGACACTGGTTTGTGACACAATTGAAACAAGAACACAACTGATAGTAATAATAGGTATAAACGTATAATCACATCATGCACAATTATAGTATTATAGGTATATTCGTACATGTATGAGAATTTACAAATTTACAATAAAGATAATAATTCTGATCCATTATAAAAGTATGATCTACAATATAATCAATTACTTCTTAGTGATGGTAAGTTTGTCTGGTATCGGCAATAATAAGTAATAAATAATCTACTATAGTATTGTACGGATTTACAATGAACATAATATATAGTTGTCATTTGGCAACGTTGCTTAAAGGTAAAAATAATATAGCACGCGCAATTGTACGCATAAAAAGATACCGCCGATAAGGACCGCGCGCAATCGTATCGCGCCCTATACAAAACCGAGGACATAGAAGATGATCCCTAGCGGCAGGCAGATGAGGCAGTGCAAGAACCATTCTGAAAACATGAGCTGCATCAGGAATCCTCTTGACTAAATCCAAAACACCATTTAATTTATGATGACAATACCGTACAATTGATTGTGTATAATGAAACCAGCAACACCCCAATCTGCTTTCTGGAAATGATCGTTAAACTGCATTTATAAGTCACATCATAAGTAACAAATCGAATTAAGTTATAGTTAAGAAGTAAGATTTGCCAAATAATATTAAATAATGTTGTGTATGTTTCTTCTGTCCGACTTCTTAGAAGAACATACACCATTGGGAACGACACATTTTTAAATACAACTTTGAAAAGTCAGAAAACTTTTCAAGTCTACCGGGGCAACAGGAACATTTTGAATGTTCCATCAATTCTAACTGTTGTAACTGTGGCAAATTCTTATCGGTATCTTCTAATTGCATCCAGGTTTGCAAAAATAATTCCTTCGCTTGTTCCATTTACCAATTCTTCTTGTTGGAAAAACCGGTTATGGTGAGTTGCGACCCAGTCCCAAAATAACGTACGAGTTGCGGCCCGGGTTTATGAGAGGTACGTACAAATTGCGGCCATACAATAATGTATATATATTTCTAGAGTTAGGATGTTGATGACCTAAAAAACACACAACAATGCCTTACAAAAAAATGCAAAAATGTCCTAAAAACTTCAAAAAAAAAAAAACTTTAAAAATGATCTAAAAAACTAATTAAATGAAAAAAAATTATTTATAAATAATAATTTTAATTAGAGATATATAACATTCAAAAAGTAAATTTTATCGGAACGCGATAAATGTAATCAAAACAAAAACCCCACACTAATAATATTAAAATTATTTTTTACTAATAGTCCAAATCCAAAGTTAGATTTTAAATAAATTAAATTTGTTTTCAAACTTGGGTGTAACATTTGTCCTAAAATCTATAATTTGTGAAAAATGCCCCACATTGTATAAAAAGTATAAAAAATGACCTAAAAGATGAAAAAATGACTTAAAATGTTGGAAAATGACGTCAAAAAACAAAAAAAATGCATTTATAGCTAAAAATGCAAAATATGCAAAAACTGCAAAATAAAATTAGAATATTCTGCATCAAGGGAGCATGAAACAAATTTTTAGCTAGGATAGAATTGTACAGAATAAAAGGAAAAAAAATGCAAAAGTCATCAACATCCTAACTCTATATATTACATATATATGTGGCAATGGGATGTAAGATTATTTGAAGCAATTGCTTCATGTCTGAAATATATGGGTTAGTAGCCAAGTCCGGGTGGGTGTATAATTTTAAGATCTCAACATAAATATCATGACAAATATTATAATAAATATAATTTAATACAATAATAAAAAGTCACAGTGCCGACATGCGCGTGTTGTCGTAGTTATTTTAGTTCTGTTTTATCAAATCTAACAAAAGATAGCAAATTTTTAAGTTTAGTAAGTATAAATGTATATCACTAATATATTCATTTAAATGTAAAATGTTATTAATAATATAATATAATGATAATTGATAATAATACAATCTTAAATAAATATAATATTAAAATGTACACTTTTTTAGAATAGTAATTTGCGTTAAATTATTAATTATTTTAAGCTTTAGTAAAACATTATCAATTATAGACATTAAAGATTGTTGTAAGGAATTACATTGTTTTTATTTATTTATAATCTAAATTTTAAAATGTGTGAAAAAAGTTGATTCTCATTGAGGTGGTCCGTGACTTATCGAAAGTTCTCAAAATGGTCTGTAGATTGTAGTAGCAAAAAGGTTGGGAATCACTAATTTATATTATATAAAAATATAACTTCCCATATACATAGTGAATATTTCATTTATAGTTATGTATACCTATATAACTAAGGTAATGATAATAACTCGGGCCGCAATTCATCGGTCATCAACACCGGAAACGACAAGTCGGGCCGCAACTCACCCTCAGCCGGAAAAACAACAAGAATTGTGTTTGAAGGGTATGACTGTAGGCAGCATTCTCTGGTCGGATCAATGCTTCAACAAGCTCATGTATGTTCTCAAGTATGTATCGTTGATGAGTGATAATAGTAATCTGAAAACTGATAATAATGATCACATTTCTGATAACGGAAACAATGGACGTTAGTTACATAGTGAATCCAACGATTAAGTGCGAGTTACGGCAGCGGTGGTCATGGCGTCGGTGGATGAGTGAAGAGTGATGATAGTGAGGGTCGGTGAGCCAGTTGCAGTAACGTGCAAGTTGAACGGACATCGTTGATGAGTGATAATAGTGATCTAAAAAATGATAATAATGATCACATTTCTGATAACGGAAACAATGGACGTTAGTTACATAGTGAATCCAACGATTAAGTGCGAGTTACGGCAGCGGTGGTCATGGCGTCGTCGGTGGATGAGTGACGGGTGATGATAGTGAGGATCGTTGAGCGATGGGTGGCGAGGGTGAGAGGACGAGAAGAGTGAGTTATAGGTAAGTCACAGGCGAGTTACGGGTGAGGTTTTAAAACCTCCCTTTTTTATTAATAGGGTACAAATTGTAGTCATGAGCTCTAGGGTAAAACGGTTGTTCTTTAATATCACCCTCGTTAGCCTTCTTATACATATATCCGTCAACCGGTGGCTGTTCGCCTGGCAACGGGTAGCGGAATGATCCAGGTGGCCGGTAACTGGCCGTGTATACAGTTCGGCCGTTAACTGGATCATTTGATCGGCAGTACGCGGGCGGCGGTTGTGGCCGACTTAACAACAACGGACTCCACTTTTTGTATCGTGAATTAGTCTCTGTCTCGTTGGCCATTCGTAAATTCGGGCCTTGTGACCAGGAGGCGGTGGACGGTCGTGCCAGCGGCCGCCGTCCATCTGGCTTACATTTAAAAATGTATGCTTCCGCCGTTGTGGTTTTGGTTTTCATGGCACATTCACCACCCCCCCAGTTTTTCCCTAAACTTTCCTTGGGCCCGTTGGCCCGCTGCCTTTGGGTTTCCAAGCATTTCGATACGAAGTCGTGACGCTGGGACGTCATGACTTGAATTGTGTTTTTAACACCACCCAATAACTCGTGGTCAACCGGTACCACAAGCCGCGTCCTCTCCACGTCCGGCCATTGCCGAAAACTGGCACGTTGCTCGGTCGACTGGCAAATTTCTTCGGAGCCCTCTGTCCTGGGCCAGAGGCTCTCTGTCGGCGCGGCTGTTGGCCTACTGTAATTATTGTAACAAGGTTCCGGCTGCTTGTACGATTGCCTACAAC